GCAGGTGGATCTTTGTGAGTTCAAGGCCAGCCTGGTCTACATAGTGAGTTCTAGGTCAGCTGGGGCTACAGGGAGACCCTGTCTCCAAAAAGACTCAAAAAATAAAAAAAGAAAGAATTTTGTTCTATCCTATTAATCATTTTGTTTACTCATTTTGAACTCTCTTCTGTATTTGACTTAAACATTAGACTCAGAACTTTAGTGTCCTCTTCCCCCGATCCATCAATATACCGGACTCTGCGCCCACAGATTGTGGATATTGTCCTTCCAGTAGTGAACTGCCTTTTCTGCTCCAGTGTTAGGTCTAAACTCCACTTGCTCTTCATAGCTGGGCTTTTTCTCAGCTGGGCGGTTGCTGTCACCCTGTATACCTGCTGTATGTAATCTTGCAACTTGAAAAGAAGACAAAAGACCCTCTTAAGTCCACAGTTATCTCTGCTTCTTTTACCAACAAAACAAAACAAAAATCTCTTGAAAACAGTCGATATTTGCTGTCTCTATGCCTTTACTTCCCGTCTTCCCATGACCTGCCTCTTCAGGCTTTCCTCATCAAGACTCTGAACCCACCAAAGCTGCGCATGGTCCTTGTCAGCATTTGGCTCCTGGTTGCTGTGGCTGCAGCAGTTTTTCTTGTTGGCTTGGCAATCACTGCAGGTTTTCCTCCGTCGTGTACACCACCTCTTAGCATGCATGGCTCATCTTTATCCTCCAAGCATCTATGTTTAGATCAATCCGTAAACTTCCCTTTTTAGCTTCTCTTGCTTCCTGGATGATCTCATCCCGTTCTGTGCTTTAGGTACCATTTATCAGCTGACTCCCATTGACTGTTCCCAGATTTATATCCGTAACCTGAACCTTGAAGTCGACGTTCATCTGTCTAGTGACTCACTCAACATCATCCTGAGAGGTCCGAGAGGTGTCTTGAAGTTACTGTGTCCAGTCTTTTCTCTCCTCTGCACCTCTTTCCCACCTCAGTGATAGGCAGCTCTTCTTCCCATGGTTCAGGGAACAATTATCGTCCTTCTAGACCCTGGATTCTCTTTATGTTCTACATTCAAACCTTCCTTTTGACTCTACCTTTTAAAATAGACTGAGAATCCAACTATTCCTACCAGACACTCTTAATTCAAGCTATGTCCTCTCCTGCCTGGACTCCCTAACCAGCTTCCTTGTACACATTCTCACTTATGTGTGGTCCATGCTGCAGAGCAGCCGGCATGATCCCCTCGAAGTACAGTATTGTGTGGCTCCTTTAGTCACACCCTCTAAATAGCATCCTTCCTGAAGAACAGAACCAGAATCCTTCGGGTACTAAGGTCCAGCCTGATAGGAGTGAAGTAATTTATTTTTCCTCCAAATTATTATTCCCTTACCAAGCACAAATGGTGGTATATTGTCCTGGCTTCTTGAAGCCATGTGTGTCATGTGACTGACATGAGTTAGCCAGCTAAATGCTGGAGGAAGTCATGTGAGCCATATCTAGATAACACTGTTCAGAGCAACGCACAGTGTGTAATGTGTTCCCTCTCTTTTCCACGGTGACAATGACATTCCAGATGGTGGCCACTTCATCAGCCTGGGTTCCAGAAGGAATAGAGTCTTAGGTGCCCAACTGTGGGCAGCCATGAAGCATGAGCTGCCCATTCTGCAGACCTCTAAGGTTTAGGGATTGTCACAAGTTCAGCCCAGTCCATGGGTCGCATCTCCTGGCTGCCTCTCCAGTGTTGCCCCCTTTAAAGTTTCTTTTAGCTCTTGAAATATCAACTCCTCAGGTTTAGGGTTCTTTCATGGTAGACCAGTTATGGCACTCAGTAACACCGAATTCTTATTTCTGTTTAGGCCGGCGCGTTTGTTTTAGATCCAATGTGTGGACTTGGAACGATACTTGTGGAAGCTGCCAAAGAATGGCCAGTAAGTTGTAAGCTTGGTGTAAACCAAGTTATGTACTCACTTTACCAAGTGTATTTACAAGTTATTTCCAACTATTTACAAGTAGATTGTCTGGTTTGGGATTATTATTTTTAATTATATGAGCTCCTGTTCACTATAGTTCCAACAGATTTTGAAGTGTTAAGTTTCTGTTAGGTCCTTAAATACTATCAGGAATTTAAGAAAATGTGCCAGGATTATGATAACTATGTAATCTCTAAATTCTTTATGCACTTCTAATGCAAAATACTAGCAGACTTTAAAATTTCACAGAAAACTTTTAATTTTGCTATTGAGTGTTTCAAAAGCAAAAAGTATTTGAATCATAAAGAATCTGAATTTCTTCCAGCTAAACTATACAAAATGTTCTCAGTTAGCAGTTAGCTGACCTTTTTTGCTTCACATTGGGCATAGTGAAGTAAGTTAGTCAGTGGACAAAAGCATACTTTAAATTTGTTTTAACTTAAAATTTAAAACCTGTTCACCCTGTGAAAAAAATGCAAGTAGATTCTTAACTTACATACTTAAAATACAGATTTCTTTCCCACAGGATGTGTACTATGTGGGTGCTGATGTCAGCGACTCCCAGTTACTTGGAGCATGTGATAATCTGAATGCTGCAGGCCTGAAGGATAGGATTGAGTTACTGAAAGTCTCTGTTACAGGTAAGACACTAAAATCAAAACCGCTCTCTGTATGTGCGGTTGGATTGCTTAGGCCCCGTGGAAGGTCTGCAGGGCTAATGCATACTTTGCTTCCATTACTGTAAGTGTTTGATTTTTTTTTGAAATATTCACAATCAGCAAGCAGCATTTGTACAGTTTCCATAAGCACCCTAGTGGAAGCCTGCCTTGTGAAGGTGCATTTATTGCATCTGAATCATTTCTTGCTTCATAACTTGAGATCAGATGATACAACCATAATATAAAGGGAGCATTGTAGTAATCATAAAGTATTTGAATTTCTTCCAGCTAAACTATACAAAATGTTCTCAATTAGCAATTAGCTGACCTTTTTTGCTTCACATTGGACATAGTGAAGTAAGTTAGTCACAGTGGACATAAAGAGGTGAGTTAGTCACTTACCGTTATTTGCTAAAGAAGTACTTTCAAGAAGCCAGGAAGGTCTGGGGCACCAAAATGGATGGTAACCATTGTCCTCTCTCTACTCATAGAAAATCAGCAGTGACAGATGGGTCTAGGAATCAGACATACAGAGTCCCTGTCACATTTCCCTGACCTCTGTGGCCTGTGCAGTTTTAGCAAAGCCTCAGGCTCCTTAACTGCTTGTTCTTCCTTTAGTGCCTCCCTGTCCTTTAAAAGCAGCAGCTCATTAAGTTCCCAGCTAAAGAAACGATTCTCTTGGTGTTAATGGATACCACAACTGTCATCCAGAGGTTAAAGAGATGATTCATTGGTTAAGGGCACCGGCTGCTCTTGCAGAAGACCTCTCGGTTCAGTGCCCAGCACCCACATAGCAGCTAACAACCATCTATAACTCCAGTTCCAGGGGATTCTGGAAGTGCCCTCATCTGACTTCTGCACTTATATATACACAGGCAAAACACACACAAGCATACAATAAAAATAATTTTTTTTTTTAAAGTGTAATCCTTGGGGACTGGAGAGATGGTTCAGTGGTTAAGAGCACTGGCTGTTCTTCCAGAAGACCCGGGTTCAAATCCCAGCACCTACATAGCAGCTAACAACCATCTATAACTCAGGTTCTAGGGGATCTGATGTCCTCTTCTGTGTTCTGTGGGCATTGGACAACACAGGTGCACTTACAGACATGCAGCAAATACATACACATAAAGTAAAAGTAAAAATAATAAAATATTTTTTAAACTGTAATCCTGAAGAACAAAGTGCTGTTTAAATTTTTTTTTCTTTTAGAGTGATAATGCAGTAAAAATGAGTATCAGCAAGAGAAAATATTAAGAGCATTTCTGTATAGCAGCTTAGTAAGGCCGCCCCAAAGAAGAACTTGGGTTCATTATGCTCTTACAGGTATGTGTGGCTGTTCTTGCTCAGTCTTTTTACCAAGGTTTTTAATAGGACTTCGCATAAGACACAGATTTTTAGAGTAAGCTGAGAGTCGATTGGACTGATGCAAGCTTTCATGAATCCTTTTTTTAAGACTTTGTTTATTATTATAAATCATGTGTAAGTCTGTATTCTGTGTGTAGGTATGCTCACATACCTACATGTGCAGGTACCTATGGAGGCCAGCTGTGTTAGATCCCCCTGGAGCTGGACTTAACAGGCAGTTGTGATGTTGAGTGATGGGAACTCAGATCATCTCCCCAAGCCCACATACACTATCATGAATTCTTATGTCTTCAAGGATGCTCTTTTTGTGAGACTTATAAGAAAACTGCTTCATACATTGTATCAGAGCTGTGGATTTTGAAACCATTTGCTTTCTCCACAGTGTCTGTCAGACCAGAGGGAGGGAGCAGAGTTGCCCATCTGCCCTCTACCACTACCCACATCCCCAGCTTTATTCTTGTTTCATTTTGGAGATATTTTCTATAAAATTTCACTTTATAAAACAAGCAAAAGTACCTCTACTGTTACTTTAAAACTAATGGAGTCCTCTATGGTATCAGATGACCAGATGCATCCTTGGGTGTCATTTACTGGCACATTTGTTCAAAAATGGTCAGTATTTTTTTTTCTTTTGTTTTGTTTTTTTTGAGACAGAGTCTTACTAGGTTGCCCTGCCTGCCCAGGAAGTCCTAGAGATCCACCTTCTCTCTCACCACTCTGCCTTCTCTCCTGGGATTAAAGGAGTGTGCCACCATGCCTGACTCAGTGATACGCTTTTTTGAAGGGCTTCTATAAGTGCTCCATAATGTGATGGTTGCATTTTACGTCGTGCTCATGTGTTTGCCTTTAATACTTGTCCTGCCCTGCCAGCTTGGCTGCTGTTTGCCACTTTGGGGAGTCACAGGGAAATCTGGGATGTGATAGGTACATGCAGGAAAAGGACAAGAAGCACACCCTCAAAAGTGCTTGCATGCCTTTGCGACTAAGGCTTTTACATTTATTGTATGGCATCCTTTACTGTATGTGTTATGAGTCCCAGTGTCATTTAGTTGTTTGGCAACATTCCTGTTTCATAATAAACTCTTAGTGCCAATAAGTGTATTAAAGTGCATTTTTAATGAAAAGGTAAGTATTGAATTTACATTTCTCCAGAAAGGTAATAATGAACATATAACTTGATTGAAATGTTTATTGACATTTACTGTGTACCCTGAGGGCAGAGTAATATCACCGAAAAAGAACAGGTCTGTTTATAGACTCACCTAGCATTTGCTTCAAAATTAGAAGTTGTTTTAAGGATAATTGGCTCTTAGCCAGCCGTTTGTCACGTGCAGTGGAAGAGAGTGAGACATCACTATATGCAGTATTGACATGAAATGGCTGTTTTTCAAAATTAATTTTGTTCCTACTCAGTTGTAAGTTGTTCTTAGGCACATGAGTAATGTTGAAATGGCACCTCCATTGGAAAACCTTCATGGACTACTAAATCTTTCAGTTCTCAGTATCATCAGACACTTCAGATGTTTTAGAAAGTCCACTGGAAATCTGTTATCAAAGAATTCAGTAAACAGTGCCAAAAAACTTAAGGTTGTGAATTTTTTGATAATTTGAAGTTATTAAAAATAAAGTTGGCAACAGGAAAGTATTAAAATATACCCCCCAAATGCCGAGGAAAACATGAACAAATTATTTTGAGCTTAGTAACACATGAGATTTAATTCTGAAATTCTCTAACTGTGCATTGGTTTATTTCCTGGCAAGAGCCTTCTGGTGGCTTGCTTTATTTTATTTGGACATACTGTACAGGTATTCTAGAGTAGAATGGAATAGAACTGAGGCCCTAGTTTTGTAGCATCTAAATTTGGTGGAGCAAAAGAACAATAAAAGCAACGTACCTGAATTTGGTTTGTTGAAGTCACTGCATGGAAGGGCTGTGAAGAGTGGAGGCACTCGCTGTCCATCTAAAAGTAGAATTGAGAGCGGCCTCCACATAGTAGGAGTTGTTCTGGTTCTCTAGTTACTTCAGTTTCTATGGATAGAGTATTTTCTTGAATATAAATATTGTAGTCTAAGGTTTTTAAAATATTTTTGTTTACTTTTTTTATTTTTATGTGTATGAGTGTGTTGCCAGCATGTATGTAAGTGCACCTGCTTTGTGCATTGCAGTGCCCATGGAGGTCAGAGAAGGCATCAAATTCCCTGAAACTGGAGTTACAGATAGTTCTTAGCCACCATGTGGGTGTTGGGAAACAAACCCAGGTCCTTTGCAAGAGCTGCCAGTGCTGTTAACCACTGAGCCATCTCTCCAGCCCCCTCTAAGGTTTTTAAATATGAAAGTGAAACTTTGACAATCACAGGCAGTTTTATGAAAAACAAAAATTCAGATTTAAAAAGAAATGCCAGTGATAACATGAGATTAGTGACTAGTATGCAAGAAGCTGGTATATGAGTGCATACCCTAGTTACTTCAATGTTGATATTTAAAAGCCTTCGGTGTGTGCAAATATATGTTCTTCTTAGGCCCACCATCAAATAGGATATCTCATATGCAGGATAGCGAGTTATTCTAAATGTATCGTTTTATTTCTAGCTTTCTTCTCAACAGTTTTCCTTTCTGTGTCATGAGCTTTGTGGTATCCCAGCCCAGTTGCCAAGATATATCTTCATCTCTAAACCTAATTATAGACTTCTGGATTGAGATGACAGATTAAATTTTCATTGAAGTTATTTGCACCTTCCTGTGCGTAACTGAAATTTTAAAAAGATTAATAGTCAGAAGGAAAAAATCTTCTAGCAGCAACTAAGCAAGGAAAAGATGTAATCTACTTCAGTGAGCTTGCTTCTAAGTTTCTTTGGCCCACAATGCAAAATAAAACAACAACAAAAAAAAAACATTCCAACACAATTAGCAGTGAAATAGGGTCTTTTTACAAGGCTCTGTTGTCCTATGTTAAATGTTACAGAAATATCATGTGACACAAAAACATTCTGCCCATCCACAATGTCTTTTCTTAGTTTTTAGAGACAGGTCTCCCTATAACCCCAAGCTGACCTGGAACTCACTATGTAGATCAGACTGGCCCCTGAGTGCTGGGATTAAATGTGCATGCCACCATGCCTGGCCACAATGACATTTTCAAGTATGAAAAATTTCAGGCAGCATTTCACTAATGAGCCCTTTTTTGTGGGGGAACTTAATAAAATACAGACATTTAAGAGATGAATCAGCTGAGGAACAAGAAGTCAAGGCCAAGTGACTGGTGATGTAGATTGAATCAAATTAAATATAGAGCTAACGGAATGACTGTTCTGTGACAGAACAGGAAGGTTACACACCTGGACCCGGGAGAGAATGACAAAGTACAAGGAAAGAAAAGAGGAGGAAGCGTGGGCCCACGTCTAGAAAAGCCCCGTCAGCTGGTCTTCGGTATATGCCTGAAGGTTTTTAAAACTCCTAGAAGAAAATATCTTGATGCCATAATCCTGTATTTTAAGCAAATTTTTCCCTCTTTCTACTGGAAAAAAGTGAAAAACATAGATAGTTTTTTGCTGAAAACAACCAGAATTTTAAAACTAAATTTTTTTCATGTTCTAAAATCATGCTTCAGAGGTAAAAGGAAATCATTTTCACTTGTTTGCTTTTTGCTGTTTCTGTTTTAAAGTCTTATCTCCTCAGTTACAAGCAAACTGTCACAGGCAGTTCAAAGCACTTAATAATTTAGTTTCACTGTGTGTTCGGTCTTAGGAGTCAGGTACTTACGCTCTCAGGAGTTTTTATGTCAGAGTCTCTGAACGTGGGGCCCACAGTCTGTTCTGCAGCCGCCCTTCCATTGACCAACACTCATAGTTAGACACTGACGCTGTAGGTCTCAAACCCACTGCTGGAGGAGAGCAGGGAAGAAGCCCGCCCAGAAGTGAGTGGCCTGCCCAAGCCTGTAAGGGTAGTGACAAGGAAATACTGGATTCTGCAGAGCTCTTGGAAAGATTCTAAGCCCCTAGTCTTCACCTGACGGTCCTCTCCCTTGACAGCTGCAAAGGCCTTGTACAGCGAGGTCCTCATGAGTAGAACCTAACAGTCACTGATTGCTCGACAGGCCAGGCAGCCTTCTACGTGTTTCCACACATGATGCGTTTATTAACTTCTGAGGCTGGGACTCCTGTTCCTCTTACAGATGAGAAGCTGAAGCAGTCATTTCCCAGCAGCCCTCAGCTAGCCAGCAATGGAGCTGTACACAGGCTGGAGGACTCAGCATCTGCACACCACACCACATCAACAAAAGCTTGGATGATGCTTAGTCAGATGACACTGCTGAGTTCTGGAACTTTTTAAAAAATTAGTCTCTTACCTATGTGAATTTTATTCCTTCAACTTCTCAAATTATTTTAAAAGCAGCATAGCACATCATGTAATATAGAGTTTAAACGTTGTAGATAAAAACGGAGAACAGCCAGAAAGGGTGAAAAATTGATGTTGCCAACCCTAGAAAAATGAGTTACTTAAACTCAGGTAGTTACTGCATGGTTCCTCATACACAAAGCATTTGAGGTCTGAGACTTCTTTTGGTGTGTCTTTTTGCAGAATATTTTCAAATGGATGTGTCCTGCATCAACACCCTAAAATGAAGTACATGAAATTAAAACATAACTTGAAAAAAGTTATTCCTGCCTAGATTTAAATGAAATTATCCTGTTATTTTTTCTTCTAATAATCTGTTTTTCTAATCTCAGAAGGGTTGGAACTGACAGAGAGCTGCCAAGTAGTCATTAGACACTTGGACAGCAGAGGGTGTTTCTTGTTTTGATTTTAACTTCCCTGTCTAAGCAGGGCATGGTGGTGCATACCTTTAGTCCCAGCACTCAGAAGGAAGTGTTATGAGAAAGAACTTTAGTTTTAATAATTGGACATAATATTTGTTTAGTGATAATCTCATTAGACTAATCATGGTTATATAGCCTTTCTCTACTCTAGAAGTTACATAGACTTTCTTGACCTTTTGACTTGCCTTTAAAACTATAATGATAACTTTGGATCATCTCCATTAAAAGCAAATATAACTAAATGAACAAAATCTCACCTGTAGTAATAAAAATAGAATCAAGATTATAAAACATAATTTTGTAAAAATAGTTTTTCTCAATAACTTCGTATGTTTCTTCCTGGATCTGGCAACCCTCTATTTATGTAACATGTCAGCAAAATTTGGTTTTCTGGTTAATTTAAAATTCTGCTGCTTGCTGTATCATTTTATCATATCTAATATGCCATTTTCATAGGACAGGATACAATAAGTGTTCCATTTTTCTTTAGTGATCCTGAAAGCATTGAGGATCATGTCATTCCATAGAGACAGTATAGAAAACCTAAATTTTATTGAATATATAAAGAAAATCAGCTTGGGTGGTAAATGCCTGGCCTTACTGTAATGGGACTCTCTGGTTTCTGTATTCCAGAATTACCATGGCCTTCAGAAAGCGTTGATATTATTATTTCTGACATTCCATTTGGGAAAAAATTCAAGTTAGGAAAAGACATCAAAAGCATTCTCCAAGAAATGGAAAGGTAAGTTATCAAATATATTTCCATAATTTTCTAGCTACTGGCCATTTAGTCAAAAATATATCATAGCTCTTAAGTCTGATTGCATTGGAGTAATGTCCCCAAATTTTGAAGTTTAGTTTTCTAAAAATTCAAATCAGAAATTTATAACTGGAATATGTTTTCACCTTATACCTGTAATTTTACTCAGAAGACATAATTTTTGTTCCAGGCAGCGGGCTGGATGATTTAGATACTGGCTTCTAATCCTCACAAAATCCTATGTCCTCTGTGTCGGTCCCCTGCAGTTTACAGACGAGAAACTAGGGCCCAGAGAGATTAACTTCCGCATAGTCACAGAACTGCTGAACCATAGACCAGAATGAAATGGACAGGACCGTCACTAGCCATGAAGCAAAAAATGAAGAATATTGCTCATACCAAGGTTTCTAATGTTGACCTAAGGGAATATCATTTAATGGAGTATTCTTTCAAGAGGTTCAACAGTGAGACCTGGGTAAACATTTTTCCAGTCATTTACATTGATGCATGAATAAATAGACACAAATAAGACATTAGCCCATGCTAAACTGTCTCAGCTGGACATTTGATAGACTAGGATAACAGAATGTTCTGAACCTGCTAGGTAAGTGGCATGTCACCAATTTTTAAACTGAGCATATATTTTCAATAAAGAGAATTCAGTGTCGGGGATAATGTTCTATGAGGAAATCAAAGCCTGGCTAGAAGTCTAAGCACACCTATTAACCATTTCAGTGCCTTCATGAGCTGGGTGCAGCTGGACATTTGATAGACTAGGATAACAGAATGTTCTGAACCTGCTAGGTAAGTGGCATGTCACCAATTTTTAAACTGAGCATATATTTTCAATAAAGAGAATTCAGTGTCGGGGATAATGTTCTATGAGGAAATCAAAGCCTGGCTAGAAGTCTAAGCACACCTATTAACCATTTCAGTGCCTTCATGAGCTGGGTGCTCCATGTTTCCTCTCTCTCTCTCTCTCTCTCTCTCTCTCTCTCTCTCTCTGTGTGTGTGTGTGTGTGTGTGTGTGTGTGTGTCGTGTGTGTGTGTGTGTGTGTGTGTGTGTGTGTGTGTGTGTGTTGGGGGTATGAGTGGGCTATGTGTGCACATAAGTGGGTGCACATGCATGTGGTAGCCAGAGTTGTCAGATGTCTTCCTTTATCTCTCGTCACCTAATTTTTTGAGACTAGGTCTCTCACTGAACCTGGAGCTCACAGACTTGGCTAGCAAGCCCAGAGATCTTCCTGTCTAGCTCCCCAGTGTTGGGATTATAGGCACACACTGCCACATTTGGTTTTTTACACAAGTACTGGGGATTTGAACTCGGGCCCTCATGCTTGAGGACCCGAGCTCGTTTTTTAGAACAAAATGGTTTTAATCGATTGTGTTACCCTCACTCTCGTGGGAGCAGAGCAACAAAAAGGCTCAGCTCCTGCCCCCAGAGGACAGTCAGGCTTATGTGTCTCTCCACACTTCAGGGTCCAGGCTGGGCAGGCAGGGGGTGGGAGGCAAGAATCATAGAGGGAGGAAATGATGGGTGGCTGGAACATAGGAAAGCGAAGGGACCTGGGCCAGGTCTTGTGCCCAGGGTCTGGCCCCAATACTCCTGGCTCCCCCTCTCTGGCTTGAGAAAGGTCATGAAGAAGAAACAGGGGAGCAAGTCCCAGAAGCAGGAGAAGCAGCAGCAGCTGTTCCCTTCACCAATAAATACTTCATTCATTACCAAGTTACGAGAAGAGAGGGGTTGGGAAGAAGGCCTGGGGCGGGCAGGAAGGAGGCGAAGCTGCCACCTGTGTCCCTGAGATTAAAGCAATGAGATGGTTCCAGACCCCACCATCACTAGCCTCACCCCCCTCGACCTCTTAAAACTGAAAAAAAACTGTCTCCAGGGCTGCTCTGACGCTTGACTGAGAGGAGGCACCTGACAGACACGGGGGGAGGGAGGGAGGGAGAAAGGAAAGGAAGGAGAAAAGGGAAGCTGCTTCTTCCCAGCTCTGCGACTACTATCTACTGAGTCATTTCCCCAGTCACAGCTTCTTATTGAAGTAGAAATAGCTAAGCCAGGGCCCAGGGAGATGGCTCAGCAGATAAAATCACTGGCTACCCAAGCCTGATGAACTGTGTTCAATCCTGGGAACCAGAGGCATAACATATCTGTAATCCCAGCATTCCTGTATCTAGGTGGAAGCAAGAACTAACTACAGAATGTTGTCCTCTAACCTCCACAAGCACGATGTGGCATGCAGGCGATGCCACACAGACACACAATAATTTTTTAAAGGGGGGCTGGAGAGACGGCTCAGCAGTTAAGAGCACTGGCTGCTCTTGCGGAGGACATGGGTTCAGCTCCCAGCACCCACATGGTGGCTAACAACCATCTGTAACGCCAGTTCCTGGAGATTGAATGCCCTCTTCTGAACTCCATGGGCATTGCATGGCAGGTGCCCTTATATACATGCAGGCAATATGCTCATACACATAAAATAAATTGTTTTTTAAAAAAGAATTAAGCTACTTCCCTATTATCTAGGTGCCTAACTTTTGTTCTGTTGGGAGCAGCACTTGTAATACAGACATCTCTTGAACATCCTTTTTAATCCAGTATTACATTTCCCTTCCAGCAGATTTCACCACCCTGACTTCATGTTAAGATCATTGCAGGAACACTTTTTAAAATACTGATACCTATTCCCTACCACTCTCCTCTAGATCTCTAATTAATTGATCTAGGGTAGGGCTTGGGTGTATCTCTCAAAAGCTGCCAGTGTGATTCTATTGTGCAGCAAGGCTTAATAAGTACAGCCTGTGAACCTAACTGGGGAATTCACTATCCATTAACCAGTTCATGGTGAGATAATAGAGTGTGTGAAGAGTGGCGTGTATTTAAACCAGAGCCTTCCAGAGAGATAATGACTTGACTGAAGGTGCAGTGCTCCATATGTTAAACATGGCTATAAGTCAATGGGAGATAAGATTTTGAGCAGACAGTCCCTGCAGCACTAGTAAGTAACAGCAGCCTTTCCCTGGGCTAGCATTTAAAGTGAGGCAGTGTAGCTGTCCACCCACTCTGGCAGTAAATTTAAATATTTGCCTGAGAAGCAGGAAGATGAGTATTTAATATTTCCTGAGTGATTAAGAATGCTTTCTAGGGGGCTCAGTGGTTAAGAGCCCTGGCTGCTCTCGCAGAGGACCTGGGTTCTATTCCCAGCATCCACATGGCAGCTAACAACTGTTCATAACTCCAGTTCTAGGGGAATCTCACGTCTTCTTCTGACCTCCGTGGACATTGCATGACACAAGTGCACTTACACACATGCAGGAAATACATTCATACTCATAAAATAAAAATAATAAATATAAATATTAAAAAATATGAATGCCTCCTTGGTCCAGTTCAGCGTGTGTACATTCGAATCTAAGGGAATTTTCCTTCTGTGCCCCAGCTGCTTTGCTGCCTGCCTTAATCCTTTATGGTCTGACTTTTGACTCTATGGTCTTGGATTTTCTGCAAGCAGTATGGCAGAGTGGTTGAAAACACCTCTCAAGCCAGGACACTGGTTCTAGTCTTGGCTCACTCACTTCACAGTTCTCCAGTCATCCAAGAGACTGCCTGACCAATCATCATACCAATGTTGAAATGTTCTAAGAATTCCATGAACTTAAAGCTCTCGAACAGTACCAGATACTAGGCAGGGCTCAGTATGTAGCTCTTAATGCAATTTTTTTTTTTTTTTTTTTGTAAACCACTTCAAAAGTTTTTGGGAAGTATGTGGGAGTGTATATTCATATCTAAGCACATACAAGTTTTCTCCCAATGCTTTAAGGAAGGTTCTAGGCAGAAATTGAAAGAGCAAGAGTTGCATTTAGTAAAATTAAGGAAAGACGTAAGAGCTCAGTAAACCTGTTCAGAACCACGCAGTAGAAATGAATGTTCTGCGTGTCATATAGAGCTGGATTCTCTAGGAAGAAACAGATCTCAGAACTAAAGATTGTCGGACAAGTGATTCCTCTGGTGGCATGAGCTGTGCTCGCAGCTTGTCATCGCTTCCTTCAGTTTGTTCAAAGATTAACCATTTCATGAATACAGAGCTTTGTTCTCAAATACCTCTATGTATCACACATGAGCAAAATTAGAAATGCAACTTGCTCACCTTGAGAAAGGACAAGACTCCATGTGGAGTCTTGCAGATGAAAGAGACCTGAGATCTTGCAGATGCAGATCAAGAGACCTGAGAAGGTTTCAGGGAAGAAAGTTTTCAGCGAAATCTGCAAGTTTTGAAATAATTTAAAAAGGAGATCACGTTTTATACATACTGACATTCAGTGACCATGTGTGAGTGAATAATGAGGCAGAAAGGATGTTCAAGGAGCAGTGAGTACACGAGACCACCTGAGGCAGAGGGTTTGCACTAGTTGGTTGAAATGCATAAAGCCTCATGTGCTCCATGGCCAAATGTCTTGGGATTATTTGTGCCCTCTGCACGTCTTGCAGGACCACGCAAGGAAGAGAAATCTCTTGTATGTGATTTGATAGTAGGCTCAACTTGTTAATAACTGAATTGTTTTCAAAGATAATATCATTATCAAATACATAGCACTACAGTTCAGAGGCAGGCAGTTTGAGCAGTATTCATAATTTTTGAATAGCTCTCTGTAAAAAAAACCTGTGCACATATACTTGGAAAGATGCCTAGGAGAACATTTGTCAAAACTGTTTATCTGAGTAGCAGAGCTTCAGGTGACCTTTTTTCCTTTGTGTTTTTCATTAATAAGTTGGTAAATATCGTGCTACATGGGGCTGGAGGGATGGCTCAGAGGTTAAGTGCACTGTCTGTTCTTGCAGAGGGCTTGAGTCCCAGCACCCACATGACAGCTAACAACTATCCATAACTCCAGTTCCAGGCGATCCAACACACTCTGCTGACCTCTGAGGGCATTGCACAACACAGGTGCACTTATATACATGCAGGCAATACACTCATACACACAAAAAAATAAAAATTTTTAAATGTATGTATTAAATATCCTGCTAGGCATCTAGCTTTGTGCATAGGCCAGAAGAGGCGGATATTTTTAATTGTATATACATAGGATCATCTTTAATTTACTGTATACAATGATGCCTTTTCTTACTCAACAGCATGTTGCCTTTTTGAACATTTGTACTGTACATTATAATTTTCAGTGATCACCACATATGTACCATTATCTAACCAGTACTTGTAGATTATCATGTAAATAATTTTTGCATAGGCTTTCAAATTTAGTGTATGATTATTGCCTAAAATTCCACAGTGCCTCAGTCTTTTCATCTGCAAAATTACACTTGCACAGGCATATTTGAAAGGACAGTTCAGAGGGTTAAATGATATGTAGTATACAAAGCATTTAAAATAGTGCCTGGCTTCCAGTAAATAGTAACACAATATCATCATCAGTTTCTTGTTCTACTGCTACTGCCTTATCTTTTCAGGATAATTTCATAGAAGGACATGGTCTTTTGTATATTTGATACAATATTGCTAACCTACTGTCCTAAAAATGTTATAGCAGTTTCCATCTTCAAGAAGACTCATTGTCTTGTGGTCTTAGCATCCTAAGCATACATTGTCTTTGTTAATGCAGTAGGTTAAAAGATTTGTGTGTATGTGTGTGTATTATGTGATTTTTTTTTATACGTTTATAGACATTTATGTCTTCTTGTTTCCACCTCCTGGCATATAACCACGTTTGGCCTCGTCCCATCTCTTAATCCCTGTAAAAATAGTTTTCTCTCTTCTAGGCAGGCTCTCTTCCCCGTCCCTTCCTCAGGAACTACACCCTGCCTACTTCGCATCCTCACCTTCAGCCTTTCCTTCTGCTTTTTCCAAGAGTCAGTCGTCCGTTCCCAAGATACTTCGGGAAGTGTTTGCCTACTCTGTGTCCTGCACCAAATCCTGAGGACACAGCGGTAGACAGGACAGTCAGGGCTGGGGCCATCAGGTTGGGAAGACATTGTAAGGAGTAGACATGGCAGCCTTTCAGATCATGGTACAGCAAGGGAAATAGAGCAAGGTATTTTGCTGGAGAGAGAAAAGCACTGACTACTTTAGGCATAGTCAAGAGATGCCTCTCCACAGAGGTGGTATTGGAACTCTAGGACCTGAGAGTGAGTGTTAAGAGCAAGCCCTGAGACCCAGTATCGCAAGGGGGAAGCAAGATGTTGAATTTGAGCAACTAAAGGAGGGCCCCTGTGCAGACGGAAGTAAGTAGATGGTGGTACTGAAAAGGCGGGTGAGGGCAGATCCTGGGGGAGCCTCGAGTGTCCTAGGACAGAGTTTAGAACTTGCCTGAAGTTCAGTAAAGCAGCTGGAGAGCTAGCAGACATCTGCCTTCTGAGTGGAAACCCAGAAAGAGGCAGCAGGAAGGGTATCCAGAAGACCCGTCTGTCAGGAGAGTGTTACTATAATTCCAGCAAAATATGAATGAAATAGCTGAATGTGTGCTACAGTAGGAGACAGAACTGTCTGAACTGATGATGGGTAGGTGAGAGCTGGAAAGCTCCTTCCACCTTGCCCTTTAACTCTTGCTCCTGGAGCAATTCTAACTGAACTTGTTGAATAGTTTATGTCTGACCTCTGCTTCCTCATCCTCCAGTGTCCGTTCAGCTCTGGCAAACCATCATCACCTGCCCTCGCCTAGGCCTGCTGTCCCTAAGGTCCCTGCTGACATTTCACCCCGCCACTTGTCAGCCTTGTAGCCTCTGGCACTGCTGAGCCAGCTCCTTTGGCTTCCCTGGTACCCCCGTTGTCCAGGTTTTCTCTTAGGATGTGTTTCTTGGCTCCTCCTCCACTGTCCCTTCCTCAAATGCTGTCTCTGCTTCCTGGTCTTTGTTTTCTCCTGCTACCCAGGTAATCATGGCCTTATGGCTTTTATCTACCATTAAACCCCCTGTCTCCCTGCCTTAAGCCCTGGTCTCTGTCAGTACCCCAGACTGGGTACCCAGCAGGCCTTTGGAATCCACACTCAGGCTGAACTGCTTTCATTTCCTCCCCCTCATCTTCTCCTCCCGGCTGCCTCTGCTATCTCTGCCACGCTCCATGGCTCGGCCCTGCCTGGTTTTAGAGCCTCTCATGGGCACTTTGCAGCCTATTGTGAAGCTTTAGTAACACAGGACTCTTTGTTCTTCGTCACTGTTTACACAAGTATCCCGACTGCATCTGAATGACTGAGCAAATGAATTCTCAAAAGCTGGTGTTCAGGGTCTGCCCTTTGCCAGCTCTTCTTTACCATCTCCTTTGTTGCTGCCTTAACTTCCCTGGTGACATCGTCTCCCATCAAGCCTCCTTCTGACTTGAATATGCTGATTCTGTAGGATTTGTCGCTAGCTTTCTCCCTGTACAATCATTTGTTAGAATGTGACTACAAATTACTTTGAAGCTTGCCTTTTAAGTAGAGCAAAAATAGATAATTAAAGCAGATTTGTATGAGAGATTCCATAATTATGATAATGAATATGCATTATGGAAGATGCTACGTAATTATCAAAACCCTTGTATTTAAATAGATGAAATTAAATTTCAAATTAACAACTATTTTAAATAAATCGGGATTGTTTGTTGTCTCGGAAGAAAGAAATACACATCCCAATTATCTCTCTTTTTTTTTTTTGTCACAGAGTGTTGCATGTTGGTGGAACCATGGTATTGTTGCTCAGTGAAGCTCACCACAGGTGCCTCAGAAGCCTCGGAGATGGCAGCATCCCTCTTAGTTCTGAGGGCAGCCACACCACTGACCTTGAAATGAAGACGTTCTTGAATCCTGACAAAGCAACTGACTCACCAGAGGCAGTGTCGTCTACACATGAAGCAGGGACTCAGCCATGTGCAGACAAAATGTCACCCTTTGGTTCATTGGTGCCAGTGGAATGCTTCAGAGTTAGCCTCGGAAAAACAGATGCATTCATATGTAAATATAAGAAGGCACAGGCTTCAGGACTGCCTCTGACTGGATGCGGTGAGCCCAGTGCACATCCTGCGCCTTCATTCTGCCATACGGGAATCACCCTGTCTCCAGAATTCCTTAGAGCCCCAGAGCCCCAGGGGAGCAGCCTCTGAGGACAGGCATGTCTAGGAACACCCTTCTGAGAGTCCCTGCTTTATACTCTCCAGTGCTCAGTGTTCTTGACAGAGACCAAGGTGGGTGTGTTAGGAAGACTCCAGTTTTGTGTTGGTTAGTATGAAAACTATTTCACCCCAGAAATCCAACTTAGAAATGAAGAAACCCTTTTATATAACTTTTTTATATATTGAACTTGATTTTTTTTAACCTATAATTTGCTTCTCTGTTGGAATGAAAATTATTTTTATTTTCCATACATTTTATATGACTCATATTTTATAAAACATCAGAGTAAGGACAATATGAATTAATCTGGAATCCTTCAGAAAATGAAGTTTGCTTTTTTAAGATTTTTATTTTATGTGTATGTGTGAGTCCCTGCATCTTGAATGTGAATCACATTCATGCCTGGTGCCCACTGATGTAGGCCAGAAGAGGGTGCTGGATCCCCTGGAATTGTAATTACTGGTGATTGTGGCCCATCATATAGGTGCTGGGAACTGAACCCAAGTCCTCTGCAAGAGCAGCACGTACTCTTAACCTCTAAGCCATGTCCCCAGCTCCTGAAATTTGGTTTTTAAGAAGCATTAATAAATTCCCCCTACCCTCCTTTGTAGAAATTCAGTTCTTGTGTTTGCTAGCTGAGAAAGAAAAATAGGAAGATGATGAACACATTTTCTTACTTGGTCTTTTTTTCAGTACCCTGATAAATAACTCAACTTTTGGCAAGTTTGATAACATTTGAACAACCTTCCTATGTTTAGGAATTTCCCACTTTGTGATTCTTATCTCCTCCACAAGTTGCCTTCTAAGCAGGGCATGGTATTTATTCTGTGTGAAGGTACATTGACTAGTGTAAGCTGTAACAAAGTGGTCTTTGCCAGAATGTTCCTGTCCCAAAGTTTCAGCTATGCTCCAGGCTAGAGAGCATCTAGTTTGGCTCTATGGCCATACAGCATACTACGGACCTACTGGATACCAAGGCACATCGTATTGGCTCAGTGTAGGCTCAGTCTGTCATGGCAGGGAAGGTGTGGTGGCAGGTCACATCATGTCCAGACTCAGGAAGTAGAAAGCAGTGTGTGCTCGTGTTCAGCTGGCTTTCTATTTCCATTCAGTCCAGGTCCCCAGCCCTTGAAATGGTGCCAGCCTACACTTGGGACGGGTCTTCCCACCTCAATTAACCTCATGGAGAAACTCCCCCACAGAGAAGCCTAAGGGTTTGTTTTTGTGGTGATTATAAATCCCATCAAGATGACAAGATTAATCATCATCACAGCACTGGTTTAAGCTTGAGGCACATCGATGACCCAGAGACCCTGCCCTCATTGAATTTGAACATTCAGTAGGGGAGAAAGACAAGAACAACAGACGCTTTATTTGCTACATTAGAAAGTGATATCTGAGGGGATGGGAAAGCAGGGTAAAGTGGTTGTGGAGGACAGGAGGCTGGATTTTACATTTGTGTGTGTGTGTGTGTGTGTGTGTGTGTGTGTGTGTGTGTTTGCATATGTGGTGACTTATGTGTGCACATGCATATAGAGGCCCAAATCTGATGCTGGGAATCTTCTCAGACTCTCCACCTTTACTCTTTTTGAAGCAGCCTCCATCAAACCCAGAGCTTCGCCATTATAGCTAGTCTGACTAACCAACTTGCTCTAGGGATCCTCAGTCTCCACTTTCTAGGACTGGAATTACAGACACGCTGCTGTGCCCACCCAGTGTTTACGTAGATTCTGGAGATCCGAACTCTGGTCATTGCTTCTATAGCAAGCCCTTTAAGCACTGAGCCATCTCTCCAGCCTCTATTTTACATTTTTAAATAGACTAGGTCTCACTGAAATTGTGAGATTTGAGTAAATATTTAAAGGAGATAGAGGGATATTCCAGACCGAAGAAATAGCTAGGGCCTCTGCAAGAGGCAGGAGAGTGCCTGTCGTGTTTGACGAACAGCAGAGGATAAAGGCACCTGGAGCAGAGTGACTGGACACCAGGTTGCTGGAGGACTGTTGGGGGCATGGGCTAAATCAGACAAGGGAGAGCGCCACAGCTGGCTTTTATACGAAAGGAGTTCTCACCAGGTAACAATAACATTTTAAAGAGCTCTCTGTTAACTGTGTGGCAAATTGTTTATAGGCAGGAAATGGTCGGAAGTAGAAAAATTGCTTATGTGGGTTTTTGTTTGTTTTGGGGTTCTTTGTAGTTTCTGTTTGAGAAGGTAGCCTGGGCTTACCTCCAACAGGTGAGGCTCCTGCATCTCCAGAATGCTGAGATAACTAGTAAGCACCTGGCTAGCTAGGAGGTTTGGGTGTAATTCAAGAAGAAAAAAAAAAAAAAAAAAAGTGTAACACAAACTCTAATAAAAAAAAAAAAAAAAAAAAAAAAAAAAAGTGTAACACACACTCTAGAATGAAAACAGTAGAGGTGGGAGATAGACTGTGTCCAAAAGTAGTGGGCGCAGGATCTGCTGGTGTGTTTGACAGTGATGTAGTGGATGCCAAGGAGACACGGACCACAAGATCTTTGGGCATGCACCTGACACAGGGAGTGTCTGTCAACAGAGGGAAAAGGCTACAGGGGCAGTAGGGCTGGGATTTGTTTGGGGACATCCGAAATTCAGTTTCAGGTTTGCTAGTCTAGACAGCCTAATTTCAACTTGTCTAGCCAAGACAAACTAAATCTAGTTTAGTTTAGACATGCTCACTAGACAGTTTTAGACTTTCTAATTTTGAAACACACATGAAGCAAAGTGGAGTTGTCAAATAGGCGATTAAATATTTGAGTCTGAAGTTTAGGGAATAAAGGTCTGCTCTGGAGACATATGTATGTTATATATTAGGAAATTGTCAGTATTTAGAGTAGCATAAAGTTGGGTGGCATCACCAAAGAACTAAGTAAAAGACCAAAGGAAAGGGGCCAGGATTGAGCCCCAGGTTCGTGCAGGACAGAGCAGTTGGGAGAAGAGAATTCCCAAGCGAGTAGGAGATGAAGCTCCTCAGGGAGGAAACACAGGACTCCAGGGTTTGGAGGAGGTAGGGAGAAACCCTGCTCATGCAGCTAACAGACCAAGCAGGAAAAAGAGGGGAACCAACCACTGGATTTGCCAACAAGGAGACCATTAGAGGCTTTGGCACTGAAGTTGAGGTGTGAGGAAGGGATTGAAACCAGATTATGATGGGCTGAAGAGAAAATGGGAACGAGCTGGAGGTGGTGAGCACAGGTGGCTCTTACACTATGTTTTTTCAAAAAAGGAAGCAAAGAAATGACATTGTAATTAGATGTGGAATAAGAAGATGATTTTTTTTAATCAGGGAAAGTAAGCATATGCATACATATATATGTACATGTGTACATAAAATATTAAAGCAACATTTTATTATGTATTACATATGTATTTATAAAATGTTCAAGTGTTCCAGCAGAGTTGAAAAAATAATGAAAAAGGAAAGCTGGGCAACGTCCGTGAAAGGGGGGATGGAATGCAGTCTGCAAATGGAGGAATTAGCTTTAGGGAGCAGTATGAATAAGTTATCCATGATTATAAGTGGAGAGATATCGACATGTCTGCTAGTGTATGACATGATAAATATACTCCATTTTTTTCATTCTCACATTCATGCTCTACAAACAGCAAAATTCCCTTTAGAAGAAAATAGAGTTGGACAGACTGTCTTTCCAACCATGTAACCTGGGGCTAACAAAAGCACCAATCTTAATAAACATATTAGTACAAAGTTGGGTACAGGGGTGGTGCCCACGGTCTCAGCTATTTGGAAACCGTGACAGATTGCTTGAACCCAGGAGCTCAGGCCAGCCTGGACAACATAGCAAGGCATATTCTCCCCTAAGCCACCTATGCCCTCCCCACAAAAAAGAAGAGAAACAATCAGTACAATTATAAAGACAGTCCCAGACTGGAGGGATGGTTCAGTGGGTAAAGCTCATGCTCTACAAGCATGAGGACCAGACTTCAGATCCCCAGAACCCACAGAAAAGCTGGGTGGGCATGGCAACTGCCTCTAATCCCAGTATGTAAGAGGTGGAGATGGAAACCCGTGAGCCAGCTGGCTAGCCAAACTAGCCAAAATGGCATGCTCTGGGCTCTGCCTCAATACATAAAGTGGAGAGTGATCAAGGAAGACACCCAGCATCAACCTTGGGCCTCCATACATGTGCACACAGATGTATGTGCACACATATGAATATACCCATCCACACACCATATACATACACAGAAAAAAAGTTATATCGCAGTCCTAATAAATAATACATCCGTAAGTAAAGGACTTGACTTTTCCAAGAAAAGGGCAAGGTCACCATGATGAAGTTGAGTGTGAGGGGGAGGAAGCAGCTGCTGAGCTACACACAAGCCAGTTCCAAGACGCATCTTCTGCAGCTTGCTCATCCGGCTCATTCCGTTCCTGCCTTTCACGTTTAGTTGCTCATATTTGATGACACAAAAATTAATATGCCACAGGGGAAAAGTCACTTACTAATCAACATTATGATGACATAACCCCTCCTTTAGCAATAAGATTTGAGCTAGTGCCTGTTAGAAAGTACGTGCTATAGAACAGACCGCACATGGGAGCAGATCTTGGACAGTGGGCGGATATGGTAGTGGAAGACTCTGGAAGTTCTCTTGCAACTGATTCTATTTTCTTGGTGAAAAACTAAAGGGTAATTTACCCAGTTCCTGAGACTATAGTTGAAATAGTTCCCTTGGCAATCACAAATCCTCATAAATGCTTTCCTGATCCATGAAGACTGTCAATTGACAGAAGGGCCAAGATTGAGTGCCTTAAGCTCCCCCTTCCTACCAAAATAGCCAACCAGAAGTAACACCATATCATTACAGGAGCTGCAGGCATCAGTAGCACTAGTAAGAAAGGCACAGATGCTTGATGGCGCTCTGGTGTCCCAAGGGAGCCCCTGTCATCTTTGGGGTTGCTGCTCTCGTTTCTTGTTAATGGAAGCCTGGATAAGAGAATCTCCAGCTGGTCCAGGCCCTCTGTCAGCATCTTCACATTAATGCCCTTATGACCTGGGAAATCTAATGGTGCCCAGAGCATCTGTGGCAGACCTGAATGTTGCATGGAGCTTGTAGCACATCGCCACAGGAGAAAGCACAGCTGCAGCCTCTTAAGTTTTGGAGCAAAGCCAAGCTCTCGTCTACAAGTAATTATTCTGCTTTTGGAAATAACTCCTGGTTTGCTACTGGGTCATGATGGTAGGACATTTTGTAACCATGTGACCTTCTTGAACTGGGGGTGTTTTGATCCACCAAGCCCAGAATTCTCAGGACCAAGTCAAGCAGCAGGCTAAGTTCTCTATCTCAGTGCAGAGCTTCTCATAGCTGACTGGACTTAGGAGCTGTAGGGGAAGTAGGCACTTTGTCCTGGCTATGTGCCTCCTGCCACACTGCTACCTCCCCCCACACACCCTTCCCCTGCCTCACAGCTGTGGTCTCCTTAGGAATCCCCAGCCCACAACTTGACAGTGGATGTGAAGTTGAAATCTGAGTTACAGATGACTCAAGGTTTTGCTAGTACCTGCTGGAATTTAATTGTGGAGCCTTTCAGCCCCACTCACAATGACAGATACTGGGAAAAGAAGTCTTCCCAGGGAGCAGAACTTGGAACTGTGTTTTATGTGTGCACTTTGCCTCAAAGGAAAGATGGCCTGAGAGACACATGCTGTCCATGTCACAGATGGTGGCTAAGCATGTGGATGAATGGTTAAGGACATGGAAGAAGGTTTGAGGAAGAAGAATGTGAGTGGGTCTCTCATAACAGGACCCAGTATGGAAAAAATTGTATCCCACTGGAGTGATCACAAAAGGCACCATTGAGGAAGGTTCTAAGTGTGAAGTAGAAGCTTGCCTTCCTAGCACCTTGCAGGGACCAGTCTGCTTAACACTTGTGCAAGACCTTGTGGACAAGTGGCAGGGATGGAGACAATTCATTAGACCAACAATGACTTCTCAACAAGGCTGTTGTGGCTCCTGTCGCTGCCAATTAATTTTATCAGTAGTTACCAACCGTGAGACTTGTTATAATATAGTCAACAGGAGAGGAATTACTGGAGAAGCTGTTGTTGGGCAATAATTTGTCCTTGTTGAAATAACTATTTGTTCTGGTTATAGATTTTCTGTTCCATCAGCACATTGCATGTACTTACTGAATTACATTCACTATTGTTTATTCCCTACAATATAATGCTTATTACCAAATGGCTCATTTTATAGGAATTTGAATGAAATAACACTCTTAGGATTTCTTGTCTTAAACATGTGTCTTGTCACCTGTAACAGAAGATGTTATTTCATCCAGTCTTCTCAAAAGCTCTTCCAGGCAGGGACTATCCTGAAGCAGCCACAGACCAGACTAGGAATATTTGCTTCACTTTTTCTCTTTAAGATTCTTCCATTGTGTGGCTGGGGGTGTCGACAACACAGAGGACAGTAATAGGGATGACAGAGTATATGGGCTCCAGTATGTGGGAGGCGGAGGCTATGGGAGGGTGACATTTGGGAAGTGGGTATATAGATGAATAAGATTGTGTGGGATGTTCTGTATGATATACACACAGAAAAACCAACAAACATTTTTTAAAAGGCATATTTGAGGAGGATGCATAAAAATTTACTTCATATTAAATAGTAGAGGTGATAAACATTACAATCTACCTGGTGACTTTATATCCATACTCAGGCACTAAAGATCTAAGTGTAACTGACTGTGACTAGTAATCATCAGATACATAGAGATTAAAGACGCATGTGCAAACATCTGTT